CCTTAACAGCAACCCAGTATCATGACCACCGAGGGTAAAGGCCGCCGTCGCCCACAGGTTGCCCGTGGCCAGGTCCAGGACGTGCACAGGCAGGCCAATAGGCATGGAGAATCTAGGATAAACGATCCACTCCTCGTTCGTGATGAAGAGGTCGTCCTCAACGCCTTTGCCATCTCCCCACCTGGGCTGCTGTTAAGGAACTTGAACTAAGTTATTGGTACAAGGAAACCCTACTATGTACTACATACCCAAATCATGGTAATGTATACCCATATACCCCTTTAAAGGGACCTAGGGTTTCCATTTCATTTTCCATTTTGGTATTATTATAGCTATATAACCGCATTATTAACAATCCAGCCACTGGTGCTTCACCTCCAGGTGTGCAGAACAAAGGGACTGCATGAGCCAATCAGCCTTAGTCGGTGCCTTGGCCGGATTCCCAACGATGTAGCCACCATTTACATCCACGTTGCTCTCCTGGGTTGCTGTTATGAACTTAAAGTACGTTGCCATAATATGGGTATATAGTGAATAATAGGATTTCCTTGAAATGGGAACTTCATTTAAATTCCTTAAAAGCAACCCAGTCTCATGCACGTTGGAGGTAGTGGCCTGCAAGCCATCGCCAGCTCGGTTCCGTGGACCAACAGGCTCCCTCTTTAGATTGTAGGACCTGGTCACCGCATTGCCAGCTCCTTTCACCATTCCCTGGGCCATTGAAGGTGCCCCATCGTCCATGAAGGTGGCGAGCATGCTGCGGTCGTAGTCGATGTAGTGAATGTGGGACCCTGTGAAGCTGGCAGTGTTATTGTTCACCTGGGGGCCAAGATATCAACATAAGCAGATCAAAAGCCAGGATATCCCATGAGCACTTATTTATGAGCGCATGTTTTTGCGTTTATGTTCTTGTGTATTATCCTTGTATACCGCCAGATCCCAACATGTACCCGATTATCTCTGTATGACGCTATATCTTATAGCTTTATATAACCCTTATTAACACTGGTAGTTTCCATTTTCTTCTCCATTGTTACCACATGAGCCCTATATAAACCCAACATATGCCCTACAATGAACTCTTAACCCTAATTATACAACCTGATGGACACCCTAAACCCTTAAACCCAAAACTCTAAACCCCTAAACCCAAACTCTATGCCCCTAAGCCTTAAACCCTAAACCCTAAACCCTATAAAGGTCCAAAAAGAATATTTTGTTGCTAATCACCATCCATGGGAAGGACTCCGGGTTGTAGGGCACCAGCTGGCCATAGGCCTCACCACGCAAAGTAGGGCTTTCAAGGGTTATATATAGGGAGTATATAGGTGTTATATAGGGAACTATTAGGAATAGTGGAAAAGAAAATGGAAGCTCCTATTTAGGGTTTTTGAAGTTTAGGGTTTAGGGTTTTAGGGGATCTGGTGTTGAGGGGTTCATGGTCTAGGGATAGGGGGGTTTAAGGTTTCTATGCTATTAGTTATCGGGAATTAAGGTCTTAGGGCTTTTAAGGTTGAGGAAAGGTGACGAACTACTACTTGGGGTCGTAGGGTCTTAGGGATTTTAAAGCTTGGGAAAGCTTACGAACTACTATGTGGGGTCTGAAGGTCTTAGGGTCTTTAAGGCTTGGGAAGGGCTACGAACTACTCCTTGGGTTCTTAGGGTCTTGGGGTTTGTCAGGCTTTAACCCTAAACCCTGAACCGTGTAGGGTTTAGGCTTTTGGGGTTCAAGGTTGAGGCCTCGCTCTGGTAGATCAGCCTCACCGTCTTGGCATCCTTCAGGTAGGCGCCCAGACCATCTGGCACGCCTGAAAAACTCCCCCCAAACTCCCCCTTAATGAAGAATACACACGGATAGCTCAGCCTAATAATGGCTAATTAAGGGGGAGCCTAGTGGCGGTTAGTACCTAATAAAACCCACCCAAAAGAAATGGGTACTGTTCTTCTTTGATGAGGGGGGGGAAGAGGGGGGGGTGGTATTACGAGGGGCCATGATAGACAGTTCTCCAATCATATGAGGCTGCTGCGGCTATTATGTGCAGTCTGTGTGTGGTCCCAAGTCAAAATTAGATATTTTTTTCACTTCAACTCGCATATCCACAACCAGCAGAAGAGCAACTGGCCTGTGAGCATTGACCCCGTCATGCGGTCGACCTCGCCTGCCGTGGCTAGCACCTTGATGATGCATATAGGGTGTTGGGCAGAAGTAACGGAGAACCAAACGGAAATATTATGGAAGTTAAGTGGGAACTATTGTTTAGTCTTCATAACAGTTTTTTAAGGCACCTTGATGTTGCCATGAGGGAAGTTGGTGTTGCCGGCTTTACCGTCCACGAGGTAAGCTGCGTTGCCGCCAGCATCTGAAGCCTCACAGATGGGCTGGTCGTGGTAGCCCACGGGCTTCACGTCGGCCATGTGCATGCAAAAGTCTGCGGGGAACTGCACGCCGGGCACCTGTGCCAGCAACTGCATGGCCTTGGCACAATTGCAGACACCCGCAGGGCTGGCCCCGCACACGGACTCGGCGAAGCTGCTGGCCCCATTGGCACCGAAATCCAATGCTTGTTCCTGGGCTTGTTTGTAAAATTCCACAGACCCGGAATAAGACTATATGGCGACATGCTCCATAGAATCCACCATACGGGCCTAGATTGGGTTCTACGAGGACAAATTGGCGCGTATCAGAAGTATATGAGGTCCTACAAGGATGTCTAGACAAATAGAAGGCTTACTTATCTTATCTTCGAAGTTATATGAGTACATACCTCCGGCCCTACACCCTAAATCCCTACAGAATCCTTATAAACCCTTTCGAAGGAACCTATCCCCATGTACCCTGCATTATCTTATATAACCCTACATACCCGTACATAATTCCTTCATCTCCTGTTTCAAAAGCATTCCCTCAGCCCTAAATTTTCTATCGCCCTAAAAAACCCTAAACGGGCTCGCAGAACCTGAAAACGCATTCAAACCGGCAGTAACGCGGGACTGCACGAGCCCTCCAGCATGGCTCTCATGCTACAAGTAAGACATAGGGGCTCACATTTTCATAGGGGGACATGCTTGGAATTGAGGGTTTAACTAGGGTTTCGAGTTGTATACCCTGTAATTAACCATGAAGCTTCCCACGGGTGCAGAAGTGTTTCTTTGGTTTGCTTTTGGCAGTAGCTTGGTGCATCCCAAGGGTGCACAAGATGTTTTGTTTTGTTTTGCCCTCAGTTGAGGAGGACTTGTCGGCAAGGGCTTGTTGCAAAAAAACCATGGCCGAAAAATTGTGAATGGCGAAGGCGGAGTGTTGGGACACATGTGAGCAAGAGCGTGACATGATTGATTTCAAGAGCATGGGTGTTGGAATCCGACATAGCGCGCTGCAATGTCTGCGTTGGGCAATAGCGTGTGTCATCCTAAGGGTGCACAAAATGTTTGGTTTTGTTTTGCTCTCAGCTCAAGGTGGCTTATGGGAAAGGGTGTGTTGCAAGCCTCTTGGCCTAAAAAATAAGAATAGCAAAAGCCGA